AAAATCAGTGAAACTCAAACTCAGGGTTGCAAACAACAGAGTAAGAAAAATTAGCCTTTCATAAATTTGTCGACTGAGTTAATGTTCAAATAAAATTGTGAGCAGTTTCACCATATTTTGTTGTAGTATTGGCTGATGGGTTTTCAAAATGTGGTCATTTTTAGGAAGCCCACCATCGAGATGCGGTCATCTCTAGGTGGGCAGTCAAAACTACAACAAATACCGGTTAAACTAAAATTGTTGGTTTTAATTGGAATTAAGTTTGTTGGTTAAATGGCCATGAGGAAATTATGCACAAGTGAATAATCACAACCCTGAGTTTGAAATCCACAAAACTTTTTATTTTGGACCACATTTGATTTTTTAGTATGATGTACAAAAAATACAGTAAATGATCTGACTACTGGACCTTTGTCCAGTAGATTTGTTGTAGTGTATTTACTTGTATAATAAAGGGGAGGTAGTGTGGGCCCTCGATCTGTACGGTATAGAACAGTTACTGTGTGATTTTGAATTTCTAGTTTTAGTACTCGGACATCCTTGCCCGTTGTACGACCCTAGGCTTTATTATAATCAAATGACAGAAGAGGAATGCAACACATTCCCAGGTTGTGTACCATTGACTCACTTCAAAGTGGTTATGTGATTTTGAATTATTGGACCCTAAAAAAGACCGGGGCCCAGTTGTTCCAAAGACCGATTAGCACTAACCCAGGGTTAGATTTTAACCCGCGTTTCTTTTTCCTTTTAATCAAAAGCATTTTGTCAGATAATTTTCTCTTTTCTTTTTTACGTATCCAGTCACCAAATTGTAGACAAAAGGAATTTAAATCAATTTGTTTTTTAAACTTTCGTATCTGAATTCATATTTCGTACTAACCTTGGGTTATCTTAACCCAGCTTTGAACAACCCAGCCTGGGAGAGTAAATGCTGCATGTTAATTTGTTTCACCGCCTTAGTTTTTCTTTATAGCATGACGAGATTCATACGACTTTGAAATTCACCACAGGGAGGAAGTTTCAATTTCCGGTGTCCTTGTAAAAACCTAATCAGGATTCAATTAATAGCTGCTAATCTGTCACGACTTGTGTACTTTGCGTCACTGATGGAAAACGACCTGAGACGAAAGACAGATACTATTTTAGGTTCCTTTGTATCATCTTCAAATGGCTACCTATTATCATTTTAGCGCAAAAACGTTTTAAGGTCGACACTGATCCCTCGATCATTTCATAAATTCTCAATAACTGCTAATGATGTGAAAGTGTAATGTTCATGGAGAATGTTGATGGAGATCACTATTTCTTAAGCGTGATCGCAAACAGTTCAATTCAGTCAGAGTTCAGTTTTTAAGTGTGGATCGTAGTGGATATTTTCAATTTTATCGAATCCATTTTAAGAAAACAGGAAAATTTATTTTGCCAAAGCCAGTGGCTATCAATTGTCGGTAAAAGTGAGTAAAATTTCATAAACCAAAAATTGATTTACAGATTAAAGCTTTATTTAATTTTGCACTGATTAGATCTTTGAAGATGATAGTGCATGTCCCGCATTAAGTAAAACAGTTTAGCCTTGCTGATGCAACGGAGCAGCGTAGCCTTTTTAGGCTGTGGCTCTGTGAGAATTTTATTCTCCGGGTGTCTCAGAGAGAACTAAAAACGCGCTTTTCAGATGTTGTTTGTATCTCCGTCTAGTATTAAGTAAAACGGTTTGGCCTTCCTGATTCAACAGAGCAGCTTAGCCCTTTTTAGGCTGTGGCTCTGTGAGAATTTTATTCTCCGGGTGTTTCAGAGGGAACTAAAAGCGCGCTTTCAGATATTGGTTTATTCTCTGTCCAGCATTAAGAAAAAACGTTTGGCCTTCCTGATTCAACAGAGCAGCTTAGCCTTTTTAGGCTGTGGTTCTGTGAGAATTTTATTCTCCGGGTGTCTCAGAGGGAACTAAAAACGCGCTTTTCAGATATTTTTTGAATCCCCGTCTAGCATTAAGTGAAACAGTTTGGCCTTCCTGATACAACAGAGCAGCTTAGCCTTTTTAGGCTGTGGCTCTGTGAGAATTTTATTCTCCGGGTGTCTCAGAGGAACTAAAAAACTCGCTTTTAGATATTGTTTGAATCTCTGTCCAGCATTAAGAAAAAAAGGTTGGCCTTCCTGATGCAACAGAGCAGCTTAGCCTTTTTAGGCTGTGCATGGCTCTGTGAGAATTTTATTCTCCGGGTGTCTCAGAGGAACTAAAAACTCGCTTTTAGATATTGTTTGAATCTCTGTCCAGCATTAAGAAAAAACGTTTGGCCTTCCTGATTCAACAGAGCAGCTTAGCCTTTTTAGGCTGTGGTTCTGTGAGAATTTTATTCTCCGGGTGTCTCAGAGGAACTAAAAACGCGCTTTTCAGATATTTTTGAATCCCCGTCTCGCATTAAGTAAAACAGTTTGGCCTTCCTGATTCAACAGAGAAGCTTAGCCTTTTTAGGCTGTGGCTCTGTGAGAATTTATTCTCCGGGTGTCTCGGAGGGAACTAAAAGCGCGCTTTTAGATATTGTTTTAATCTCTGTCCAGCATTAAGAAAAAAAGTTTGGCCTTCCTGATTCAACAGAGCAGCTTAGCCTGTTTAGGCTGTGGCCCTGTGAGAATTTTATTCGCCTGGTATCTCAGAGGGAAGCTTTATTTTTTAGACATAATTTAAATATTGCAAAATTAATGTTTCGCTTACGTTTTTAATTAACCCCATCCAGATCCAGTGAGGCCTTTAAAACAGCGCGTCAATTTTAAAAGTTTTTTCATAAGGCAGTTTCTGTTTAGCGCTTAGTGTTAGTTCTGGCCTTGAAATGAAGATTCCATTAAAAAGCCTTGCGTTTAGACATAAAATTAGGGAGATCTTGGTAAGCATGAATTGAAATATATGAAATGCGGATGAAGGTATGAAAGTGAAAATGATCATCACATTAAATTCGCAGCCTATTCGGTTGAAAAATAACCTAAAAAATTTTGCAGCGTTGTCGCAGAAAGTTAGAGGTAATATTGTTCATTGTTGGGGAAAATACTCCGCGGCTTTAAATTAATAATTTCCACGATGTTTTAATTCCGGTAGTGTAGTAACCTTTTTGTTACGGCAGCTTCTAAAACGCACCCGAGAAAACCGCACAGTCTCTGTGAACTCTCACTTTAACTTGCGAGAGATGCAAAAAAGACAATAGAGTGACATTACTTTGAAACCAAATTTACGGGTTAATGTTCAAATAAAATTGTGAGCAGTTTCACCATATTTTGTTGTAGCATTGACTGTTGGGTTTTCAAAGGAAGCCCACCATCGAGATGCGGTCATCTCTAGGTGGGCAGTCAAAACTACAACAAATACCGGTTAAACGAAAATTGTTGGTATTAATTTGAATTAAGTTTGTTGGTTAAATGACCAGGAGGAAATTGTGTACAAGTGAATAATCACAACCCTGAGTTTGAAATCCACAAAACTTTTTCTTTTGGACCAGGTTTGATTCGTTCTGTAAAAGACTAACAGAAGAAATTTGTGACTGTAAAATTGTCAAAAAAAAAGTAACTGGTTTCTGATTCCTTTATATTGAAATGACAGTGCATATAAAACAGTTAACAGGAAAGATGCATGTAAGGGGTTAGACCTCTTGGCGGAGTCTCACAGCATGTACAAAATTTTATTGTAACAATGTAATGTTACAGTTGAGATTGAAATTTACTTTAGTCACAAAACGAATCAAACATATAGGAAATGTCACATGCACATCACCTTTGACTGTCAGCAAATGTTATGCAGTTCACTATATTTGCCCCCCCTTGCAAATATGGATAATTATGATACAAATGTTCAAATTTATGATACAGCCAAATGTGTAGAAATTTATTGTTTTTGCTCTTAAGGCAAATACGAGTAAACCACATGCAAAAGTGTTCTTTTGGTATCCTGGAAAAACAAGAGCAAACATCACTGCAAATTAGTGGTTTTGCAATATTTTTGCCTGCATTTGAAGTACAGTGAAAACTGTCATTTTTGCCAAGGATGTAAATTTGAGTAAATTGGTAGAAATGTTGAAGATTTGCTCATGCTGCAAATATGTATCAAATTTGTATCAAACCATTACATTTACTTGACTTTTGCGTATCAATACCTATCTAGCAAATATATGAATTTGCCCACACTTTAGCCGACAGCGCAAATGTAATGCAAATTTGGAGCTCCAAATTTACCACATATTTGCACCTTTCGCAAACATTAGTAAATCCGTTTTTTCGTCCAGTGAGTGAAAAAGTGGAATCGCCTTTGTCATGTATTAACGCCTTTGAATACAAATATCAACAATAACAATTTCGTATACTAAAACTGAAACAAACTATAGTAACAACCTTATCTTAAAAAAAATACTTGTCAGCTTTATAAGACCCTTATAAGTACAAATGAATGCTGGTTGCAAATGTTCTCTTAAGAGAACATGGTCAGCTGTTCAGGGAAATTAGTTCGTTTCTATGTTATTTATTTGGTTTCATTATGTGCGAAAATATAAAAACACATTTCTACGGTCATACAGTAGACTAGGTATCCTTGAAATCACAGGGATTAGCTATTTACCGGGCTACGAGCCTAACATTGAGTTACTGTTTCTCAGGGTAGGGACGGGGGATTTGAACAAGGATGGATTCGAAAGATCGCCTTAGGGTGGAGATGGAGTGGGAGCATTTTAACACGTATAAATTCGAAAGAGCACCGCGGGGTGGGGACGGAGCATTTTGAACAGGGATGGATTTGAAAGAGCGCTGAAGGAACATTAACGTTCCAGAGTCAGAGTCAAAAATCCGTTCAAAGTACAAATCCGCGCACTTTAGGCACGACATTGGCTAACAGTGCGTCGTAATTATTTCTAGTGAAAAACAGAAAGGGACTGCTCGCGAAGTATTTAGAGCTATTTTTTCTCACACATCGCTCAGAGGACCGTCCTGTTCTAAGGGCCTGTATTCACAGGTTTTTCAGGTAAAACGTCCTTTGATTTAAAGTTGCATAAATTATTGTTCTTAATAAAAAACATTTATTACCCTGAATGACTTACAGAGTTGAGATTTTCCCTAAAAATGTTTGTAAACTTTCATAAAAACAAAGAAGTAATCTTGCCTTGATCAAAACCTAAAAACAACGTTACCTTCGATTCATAGAAACAAACGCTAAGTGGTTTACAATCGTTCTTTCTTAAAAAAGCTTAATTAGAAACTAAACCCAACAACGAATCAACGAATCTGGGAGCTATAAACTGCAACACTTGAGTACTCTGATCATGGCTTACAGAGAAGTGGCCACAACAGCGCATAAGGTGAGGATGATGACGCTGACCAGTGCTACTCTGGCAGAATTGCAAAGATCTCCAGAGCAGCAATCCAACTCACAGGTTCCTTCCTTACAGGCGTCGGTGTCTGTCGCAGTTTTGCATAATTCTGCTGAGCTACAACCTTTGCCATAACGCTTCGTTGATACTCCGTCTTTTTTGATATCTTCGTAGGCCTTAAAACATTGGTTCTCGCTAGAGGAGCAGTTCATCACTTTTTTGACGCTTTCACAGTCATCCCAACTTTTCGTGCTCAAGCACCGATAACACTGTAAGCCACATGCTGAAATAGAACACATAATCAGACTTTCAGGGAATCATTGTATTCCTTTCTATATAGTCCAGGAAAGTAGTGCTAACAGATTGTAGGGGGCCCTCTGTTAACACGTATAGCTATTTGTTCTTTTAATAGTCTCTCTCCTGGTTCTGTCGTAAGGCCTAGAACGCTCCAGCAATGCTCTTGATAATTGTTCTAATTACTGAAAAGCGCAACATCGAACGTCGCGTTAAGGAGGCCATTGCCAATAAACAAAGAAGACCCGCGTCCCTGGGTACGGACGGACGAGGCAGTGGACCTCCCGCGGTCATTTACTGATACCTTAAATTACGTAACAGACCCGATTCCGGGAAAATTTGAATGAGTCCTTTGTCAGTTTCCAGAAATTTTACGTGGAACGCGATTTATCAGTTTCGTAACAAAGGATAGACGTTGAGCTAAGAAAGAATGAGCCAATAGGGTCTTTACATGACTTGATCACGTGATCAACTTTCGGTAAACACGAAAATAGTTCACTTTTGAAAAATTTTGTTAGCACAAGCTGAAAGAGCATATTAAAATTGGGTAACCCGAGAAGTTTCAGCCGTATATCTCAAATTAGCGACTGCAACGGCCACCGAAAGTTGGAAGCATTTGTATGAGATAAACGACTTTTGCCATGCAGTCACGCTTGCATGGTTTTCCATACAAATCCTTGTAATTTCGAAATTTTCAAAACTGTCAGGAAATATTTCCTTAAGCACTACAGGGCTCAAATCTCCTTTTAATTCATAAAGGCAATTTGAGCCCTTAAATGTGTGAAGGAAAGATTTAACTACAGTTAAAAAATTTTGGAATTTACAAGGCTTTGTATGGAAAACCATGCAAGCGTGACTGGATGGCAAAAGTTGTTTATCACATACAAATGCTTCCAACTTTCGGCGGCCGTTGCAGTAGCTACTTTTGAGATATACGGCTGAAAATTCTCAGGTTACCTAATTTTAATATACTCTTTCAGCTTGTGCTGACAAAATTTTTCAAAAGTGTACTGTTTTCGTGTTTACCGAAAGTTGGTCACGTGATCAAGTCATGCAAAGAGCCTATTCTCTGTAGCGTTGAACTCGAAATTCGAAAAGTTTAAAATGAACAAAAAATGAAAACTTTGAAATTTCCGTTAGGACTATGGCATACTGATTCAGAACTTCCACTAAATCAAAAACTTAACATGAAAGTGCACGTCATGTTTCTTTTCCGTCGGCTTATTAGCATATTTTTTGCTAGGGGTCTAACCAGATCTAACCAACCTCATCAAACCGAGATTAAATAAAGCTTCATTCATTCATTCATTCATTCCCTTTCTGACTTTGAGAATCTCATCTGCACTTGAAAAATGAAGCGTGTTTAAAATAATCAACAATCTCCATTTTTGGAGTGAAAATTTTCACTCCCTTACTCTGTGGTGGTACACACTTAACACGTCTTTCATGCACTCGTATGTACGAGTCACGATCGCATGCATACGATAATCATAGCTGGAATTTTCCGTCTTCAAATGTATGAAAGTTACACCGCCAGGGAATTTAATAGTTCTTTGTATAGAGGAATTCAGGCTGCAGAAGATACCAAGACATCATTTCCTTCAAGTCCAAAAACAAATTTTATTAGAAATTCTATTCGTCATTATGATTCAAAACCGTGGAACAGTTTACAATAGCTGAAACCTCTCAAAAGAATTTTAACGTTCTCTCGCCAAATTTGGTGTACTTCTAATTCAGCAATAAAATAAACTTCGATCCCACTTGATCTACGAATCAAGACCAATTTCAATTGCATTACTAGTAGAAATGAACCTTTTAAAGTAACAGTAAAGCTATTTCGGCGATGCAAGCTCTAAGGAATTTGGTGGTTTATTGAAAGCCTCTGTCAAACGAAAGTAGGCACCGGCTTATCCGTGAACGCTGAAAAGTTTTGTTGTTTTACAGCGCAGTTGTTTTGATTAGACGTGGCCAGTTAAGCTTTAATGTTTCAAAATATCTTTTCACCAATGTATGAATGCAACTTTCAATCACTTTTACGGGCCTATTGACAAACTCAGCTTTTTCTGATGATCCTCCATTCAGATCAATTTAATACATAAAGAAAACCGTAACAAAGACGAAGCGTTATCTTGCAAGGAACAACTGAACATCGTATGCCAATACAGTGAAGAAAGTGCAGTCCTAAGAAAGGCAACTTTGAACAAAACCGTTTCAAATCCGCTATATATCGATCGACTGGCATGTCTAATCATTGCCAAAAAGAACTAGATGGCAATGAGCGAAACAATGCAATAGAACGGACCAAAAGTACTTACCGAAAGAAACGCAAAGGAGAAATGCCAAAGTAAAAAGTCCCTGATTCATGTTTTGGGAGAACTTTTAAGGCGAAACTTCTCCTCAGCAAAGTCTGCTCCTCGGTAGCTGTCCCAAAAAGTAAAGTGGTCTTTCACATGGAACACGCTATGATTCATCGCATCGTATTTTTCCCTATTCTGACAGTGCACCAATCAAAACGGTCGATTAAACGTCTATCACAACCGGTGCACCAATCAGAACTTTAGGGCGCTGGCTCGTAATTTAAGATCAATAATCAATCCTTATCGAAAAACCAACCGCTTGGCTTGTTTCTCGGAATTTTACTCAAGTCTGCATTTTAAGTGCATGATTGAACAACAAGAGGGCACATGAAACTGAAGAATGCGTAGGGTGGGGATTGGGCGGTAAAAAATGTTGTGGCTATAAACGCATGCAGATTCACAACTTCTGCTAATTCAACAAAATAACAAAATCGAACACGGGTGAGGTGCCGGCTTGTTAGGAATTAATTAAGCATCAAAAGAGTCCACTGTATTCGGGACAAATCGAGTGAGTTAGAATAGTCGACATACGGTTTCATATAGAACCTGAATTAACTGATCGTGACCGTTTACATTTTCGTCGCCCGTGGTGGTACGGCTAAACTCCCAAGTAATGTCCACTGTATTCGGGACAATTCACGCACACGAGTTACGATAGTATAGAAGTTAACCCACAGACGGAAAATTACAGTTCCAGAGCTGCTGTTCGAAGCGGATGAGTCAGCACACTTCGATCATGTTTGTTGAAACATCCATGGCAAGCTCCACCGCTGTGATGGAGGAACTGTCAGTCAGTGTTGGGTTTAATAGCGGAAAGCGTGTCTGAAGACTATGACAGGCGAATTACTCGGACTTCGGTTCAAAACTCAAAGAACCGAGCGTATTACCGGTATCTATTTAACTTTCATACTCTATCATTCACAAACGTGATTTGAAATTTGGTAGTGTATAAAAAGGCTAACACGAAAATTCTTGTTTGACCACTGTTTTCATTGCACGTGTGGCCAATTGACACAGTCTAAAAACTCATGAATGTACCGTAAACACATTATTAACAAAGTGCTTTTTTGTCGAGCCATGCAGATTCATTTAGCAAATAAAAAACAACTGTTTCGTACCCCCTTTCGTACATACTTAGCTAGTGTAGTCACAGCATCGAAACAGCAAAGCGTTCTTAAAACACTGCTAAAAGTATCAATTAGACGTCGTAGTACGTCGTTTACCAATGCCTAGCGAGAAATTAAGGCCTCTTCGGCCTCGTTGTTAAACTAGGCAACATCGAATTAGATAATTATTGTTTTAAATCCAGCTGTGATACCGATTGATTGATCGGCTCAGTGGTAATTACATGCACTGAGAACTTAAATAGCTAGATAGCAGTGAGTGAACAAATCAGGTGATAAATGCAGTAGTTAAGAATCAATTCCTACCTTAAGAGAAGCAAAGAAGAAATGCTAATACAAAAAAGTCCTATATATTTCATATTCTAATTTCAGCAATATTCCTCCGCATTTTGTCCCAAAAAGTCGAGGGTACACTTACAATTAGGGAACACGCTCTATTCATTCGAACCAGTCTGCATTCGAACTGATGTTTTCTCTCAGTCTGACAGAAAGCCAATCAAAACGGCCGATTACTGGCATGTGATTTAAGGTCGCAGTTTTCTCGGAAAAAGTAAGCCCTTTGCTAGCTTCTCAGAATTTTACGCGAGTCTTCGGTTTATCAGGTAATGATAGCAAGAGGTCAGATCATAAAATTCAACAAATACCAGCAAATTACGTATTCACGATTGCCGTAGCAACATCACGTTCAATTGAGATGACAATCCAGACGTTCAAAACGTCGAACTTTACATAATGAATAATCGATAGGCCTTAAAATTCTCAGTCATCGATTAGTCATTGATTGATTTTCGATATAATCTCGCTCTTACACAAACCATACCAAATCGAAAATAAAGAAATAAAGACTTCTTTGACGTAGATATCACGATACCCAAACTTTATTTATTCATGATCTTTTACCCAGTAGGCACCCTGCGGTGGCTGGGTTTCTCAACAAAGACACAGACTCTAATAGACAAGAGAGTAAGATAGATAACTCGACCTTCTAAACATTTCGTTTTTGACATTTCAGTTACTGTCCAATAGATAAATTTGATTTGCCGTTCTGTTTTCGTCATGGCCTATTAATGCATTGGTTTTCTAGTTGAAAGTTCAATGCCTATTTGGTTATTTATATTATCGTCAAGAACCATCAATGTAAATTTTTATCACCGGAGTAAGTTAAGAAAAAAATTGCTAGAAATTGTGTGAGTATGTATACTAATCAGTGACTAATCGATGGATAATCATTAGATAATCGAAAGTAATCGAACGCATCAATTACTCATCGACGAGGAGCCGCAAGCGGTGATATTTTTGCACGGCATCTGGCGGCACATCAGAGAATTTGGAATTGAAGGGCAAATTCCTAGAATATCTTCGCCAGTTAAGCTAGAGAAAAGGTGTTAAAAAACCTCAGAATCCAAAACAACACGTCAATCAAAATATCACTTGGACCTTTTCGCTAATGAAGAGCTATCACGCAGCTAAGCTTGAATTAGACATATATTGAAATAGGAACTCGAGTCAATAAAGTATCAGAAGTGAGTGGGAGTCGCTCCTGGTTAAAAAACTGGTTCACAGGGATATGCATCTCTTCTAGTTAAGAGAAGGGAATCAGAACTGCTTTTCATGCAGGAACAGGTTTTCTTCGGGCTAACTACAAAACTCCAGCTTATTTCACTCCTTGACATTGTCAAAGCGCATTTTGTAAAGATAGCTTTTTCCGCTTTATCAGCTTTTTTATATTCTATTCCATTAATGTTTAACCTCCCTCAAAAAGCCAAATAATATAAATGCTGTTGTTAAAAAAAAGCGTTTTACCTGTTTTCGTGAATTCGCTACCCAAAGATCAAAGGACAGGGCAAAATTTCCAGGAGAGAGGCATTAATTTTTTTTTTCCCACGAGGTTACAAAGAGAAAATGCAATGATTATTATTAATGTAACCATTAGATCATACTCTACCCACGAGTTTACGGACAGCAAATGCAATGATTATTATTAACGCAACCTTCAAGTATGTTCTACCCACGAGGTTACAGAGAGCAAATGCAGTGATTATTATTAAATGTAACCGTCAGGTATATTCTACCAACGAGGTTACAAAGAGAAAATGCAATGATTATTAGTAACGTAACCTTCAGGTATGTTTTACCCACGAGATTACAGAGAGCAAATGCAGTGATTATTATTAAATGTAACCGTCAGGTATATTCTACCCACGAGGTTACGGAGAGCTAATGCAGTGATATAATTAATGTAGCCACCAGGTATGTTCTACCCACGAGGTTACAAAGAGAAAGTGCAATGACTATTATTAACGTAACCTTCAGGTATATTCAACCCACGACGTTACAGAGAGCAAATGCAGTGATTATTATAAATGTAACCATCAGGTATGTTCTACCCACGAGGTTACAGAGAGAAAATGCAATGATTATTATTGACGTAACCTTCAGGTATGTTCTACCCACGAGGTTACAGAGAGCAAATGCAGTGATTATTATTAATGTAACCATCAGGTATGTTCTACCCACGAGCTTACAGAGAGCAAATGCAGTGATTATTATTAATGTAACCATCAGGTATGTTCTACCCACGAGGTTACAGAGAGCATGCAAATGCAGTAACAATTATTAGATTTTAGTGCAACTATCAGGTTGAGTTTCTCCATTACAAGAGTTTTTTGCTAGGGTCACACAAGTTTGGCTTTTATGAGTTTCAAGGTGCAAGAAATTATCAGTATAATTATAGCACACAAACATTGTCATCTAATTTTTCGCACGTAGACGGAATAAGCCAAGAAATGAAGCACATATAACGAAAAATCGTCCTCAGATGATCTCCATATTAAATAAGTAAATTATACTAAACGTTGCGAAAGAAATTATTGTTTGTATCCGTACGTCTTATCCATCGTAAAAGCGAGGGGTCATCGCACGACATCTGGTATATTAAACGGAGGTAACACTCACGGGTTTCACGAGTTGTATGTACTATTTTTCGCCAAGAAACAGGGGCACCCAACGAGGGTATAGTTCAAAACCACTTAACATAGCATTGTTGAACGTATTTTAGTATTCAAACGGTAGATATAGGCATATTTTTATCCCCTAAAAACTTTTCATCTGTTCGGATTTCCTAGCTGAAAGTCTAGTGATCCGAAAATGATAGGGATAAAAACTTACCTTCTCGAAAATTTCAGCCAGGAAAAGGCTCCCGAAAATTCTAGGTGGCCTTTTTTAGGGTCAAAATCCGGTAAAAATGGGTAATTATACCATTTTGTAGATGTTCGAAAATCCTAGGAGAGTCAGGCAAGCAAGAAATTTTGCAACAAATGCTCCGAAAATTCTAGATCTCAATCGTCTTCCGAACAGATATTTTCCGAAAATTGCCGTTGGGTGCCCCTGAAGAAACAAATTTAAACTTCAATTCTTACCTTACAGTAGTCCGCTCTTTTACCTTGCATTTGACAACAAATCTGTTAACGGCGAACAAAGCGATTCCGGCACTCTTCTTTATGATGAGTAGCAAGCCGCAGGAACTGAAGCCGCTTGACTGAAGTAAAATCCACCGATATGCACGGCATTCTCACTACAAATATAAACAAACGTCGCGGGGAAAAAAAGACGAGGAGGGAAAAATGCCAAATCTTCGCCTCGGCAATGTTTTCCAGCCACCATGCCGGCGTATCTCCAGAAGGTGGACTCGAAGTGGGACAAACCTTGTGATTTTTCTTAGAAGCCCTTTGCGCGCAAACTAATTTATTCTGGCGCGAAATGAAGATTAACAATATGTATGCTGAAATCTAATCCACGATAAGAAGATTTTCGCACTGTAGCGCGACATATTAAATGTCTATTTTTACAAGTACGCGGAGATAGTGGTCCACTAGTTTAACTTTTTTAAGATGAATTTACTCCACAAAAGCAAAATGAAATGTTTTATCTCTATGTTATTTACGTGCCTGATTAGAAGGCAGAAGTAAATTCATCATACAGACCCCATCAAAATGAAAGTACACGAATGAAACGGAATAAGTCTGGGACGGTTTAGTTTCTACTCAGCAGCTTCTTTGCTTTTATAACAAAAATTTAATGTTGCAGTCTGTTTTGAACGTTGACATATCAACGCGCACAGTCACTGAATGAAAACATCAGTCACGATCACGTTCTTCGAAACCGACCAGACGCGCGCGAACTACCACCGTTATGGTAAGCTATTATCCTGAAGGTGTTAATGTTCCCGTGACAGTCTTCGCACTGAAGGTGTAAATGGTAAACCGAACGGTCGCTTTGATCATCAGAAAGACCTGTCAACTTTGATGATTTAACTGATTAAATTACGGGACAGAAAATTGACATCAATGAGTAATCGATTTCATCGATGAGTAATCGATAGGCTACAAAATTCTTGGCCATCGATTAGTCATCGATAACCCATTGAAAAATCAATGACTAATCAGTTGATTACGCAATAATTACTCAATTTAATTTTAGTCAATCTAAAGGTAATTCTCTTCTCGAAAAACCATTAACGACCTTACTTCCCATCGCACCAACAATACAACGGTGAAAGAATTGAAGTTGAATGGTTCCATTATTTCTTATTCTAGTGAGCTTTCTAATGCTTTTAATGACCATTTTTCAACAATTGGGCCCCGCCTTGCCAATGAAATTCCACCAAATGATAATAATGATTATTTAAGTCATATCAATGATATAAATGTAAATCACAACAAGTTCAGTTTTTCTTCTACAAGCAGTACATCTAAACAAATTATGTAGATCCAAAGCAACAGGTCTTGATAATATCTCTGCTAAAATAATACGTGAACGTGCCGATCTGATTTCAGTTTCTTTATGTGATCTCTTTGATAAATCTTTGCTCTCTGGTATACTTCCTGACGATTGGAAATGTGCTAGGGTTACTCCGTTGTTTAAGCAAGGTGAGGCATCTGATCTAAATAATTTTCGACCTATTTCATTCATTTCCGTTATAGCTTAAGTTTTCGAAAGGATTGTTTATGACCAATTGTCTAATTTTTTGAGCAATGAAGATGTCATTTCTAGACATCAATCTGGCTTTCGCTCTTTACACTCAACTGTAACTGCTCTCCTTGAAGGCACTGATAACTGGGCCTTTAATATCGATCGTGGTAATGTTAATGCTGTGGTTTTTCTTGATTTAAAAAAGGCATTTGAGACTGTTGATCATGATATCCTTTTATCTAAAATGAACCTTTACGGAATACAAGGAATTGCTCTCGATTGGTTTAGATCGTATTTGACAAATCCGGTACACAACAATGTCGCGTTAATGGTTCCCTTTCTAGAATCTGTTCAATTGAATGCGGGGTACCTCAGGGAACAATTCTTTGTCCCCTTTTATTTCTTATTTACATCAACGATTTGCCAAATTGCCTAACTTCATGCCAGCCTAGGTTGTATGCTGATGACACATACATCACTTATGCAGATGTTGATGTGAATTCAATACAGTTAAATTTGAATCACGATTTAGATAATCTAAACAAATGGCTTATTTCCAACAAACTTACTTTGAACACTACTAAAACTGAATTTATGCTAACTGTTGTCGAGCCAACCTGAGCTCTCGATTGATAATGTTCCGATAGAAAACGTTACCTCTATAAAATCGCTAGGAATATTTATTGATGAAAATCTACGATGGCAAACGCACATCGATAAATTATCTAAATAGATCGCTTCCGGGATAGGAGCAATTAAAAGATTAGAGATTTTGTTCCAACGCCTAATCACCATTGTATATACAGCGCTCTCATTCAATCTCAACTCGATTATTGTAATATTGTCTAGGATAATTGTGGAAAAACTTTGTTTGACAGGCTACAGAAGCTTCAGAACCGTGCTACTCATGTTCTAACCTTTTCTAGACATGATGCTGATGCCAACCGCTTATTTAGACAACTTAATGGGAAAGATTTGAGCACTCAGTTTCGAATGCAAAAAGCCGTAATGGTTTACAAGTCATTAAATGATCTTGTTCCAGGATATTTATCCTCTAAATTTGTTAAACGATATGAAACGCGCTACTCCCTAAGGGACTCTGGTAACAAAGTAATAGACCATATTCGTATTCCCCGACGGCCCTGGGACGAGAGACTTCACAGCATGATTGCGAGGCTAAAGCGGGGAACTTTTTAGCAAAAACACAAACAAACATTGGCTAGTCGCGGCTGAATTGCTGCAAAACGATAGAAATCAGCTAAAAGCTGCAAGATTTAAAAGCTGAAACCTTACGGGTAAGCTAAAGGGATATCTGTTTCAAAAAACAAAACTGTAGGAAGAGCTGGTCGTACTAACAGCAAAAGTTAAAAAGCCACGAAGCCAAAAGAAGAAACAAGAAGTGATCAAGAAAATGGTATATTGTGTCAAAATGTCAATACTCGAATCCTTTTTATAAAATTTTATTCTTCTTATTATTCTTTTTCTCTTATGTGTATCTGTAGTGTGGAGTTTAAACTCCTCAGTATTATCATCTGTACCAAACTCTGTGTTCAACTGCGTGCACGTTTTTGTACTCTCGCCCAGTTGTTATCGAAGATAATGTAACTTAAATTTAAAAATAAACTTTACCTAGTCATCTTTGTTCAAACCGGTTTAACTTCCTTAAAATGCATGGACTGTGTGCAGAACGCTAAGCCCCGTCCTGATAAGTAATCATCCACTAAATGAGTCGTTTGCTTTACTTCAAATACACATTCAAGATTTTGAATCCGCTCTGTTAGAAAATTTCAACTGCAAGGTAGGTGTGATAACATCACCGTTAACTTTATCGCAGGCTTTCGACAATTACGTCCATTTCAATAAAAGATATTCTTCAAAAAGTTTAAAGGACACCGAAAATTACAATTAAAATGGCTTCGGGGATTTTAAGAACATCTGTGTTTAAATTAAATTATAAACTCGCTCACCAAGCACTCTTCTCTCGCCCCATGTAAGGGAATCCATGACAGTCTTGGATTCTGGATTCCACGTTGTTGATTCCGGATTCCAACTACTGGATTCCGGATTCCAGCTCAATGGATTCCGGATTCCAAAAAGGGCTGGATTCCAAATTTGTTTCTGTTTTAATGCTTTTCCTCGCATTTCGATTTGGTGTTCTAATCTTGCTTTTTTGAAAGACGTTGTTAGAATGCATAACAAGTTTGTTTGCTTTTTCGATTTATAAATTACAAGAAGAATGTATTACAGTTCCGTAAGGGTTTATGGTTTAATAATAAGGGGGACATTGGGGGACTGTCCACACCGCAACGCCGAGGAAAAAAAATAAAAAATAACAAACACCCCATCACCGCAAATTGAAACGAAAATATACAACATAGTCCCTCGCCATTTTGAGGAACAATTACACATCATGCACATTTTAACAAGATGTTTTTATACTTCACAAAAAAGTAAGACAAGACACCTATTTTTCAAATTTAAACCTTTTTGGTTTCTCGAACTTTTCCTGTTGAGAGGCATTTTTGAGATCCGATTCATCTTCTTAATAGGTTTGTTTTCAAATTGTTTATTGCAACTTTTTATCGCAATCGAAAATGGCAAAACCCCGACACGATTTTTTAACGCTTTGACTCACGAAAGACTAGAACAAATCAAATTTGTGAAAAACTGAAATCGGTTTGAGGTTTAGCTTTCCAATGCTGATTTTTAATTTGGACGCACACATCCTACCAATCTACAGTGCAAGTTAAAAAAAATAATGATAAATGAAAAATAAAATGAAAAAACCGTCACCTACTTATGATCTGGGCCAAATAAGGTAGTGCAGCCCCAGGGGACTGGTAAGCACACGCCATTAACACTGCTATTTATGGCAGGACACTTGCGGGGACAGGTTAGAATTCCAGTCAAATCTACAGAACCAAACCAAAGCCTGAGCCAGTTCGTCATGCCGCCACACAGTGGTGAAGAAGAAACTCTGATAAAACATGTTGAATATCTAGACAAAGCCAGAAGCCAAGTCTATGACTATGAAGTTATAACGAGAGGAAATGCAAAGCTCCATAACGGATTAACTGTATTTACCGCCGTTGTGTTCATTGTTGCACAAGTTGCCGGCAGCGGAGTCTTAGCCCTACCGGCTGCCATCGTAGGAGCGGGTTGGACGGGATTCGGTTTGCTTGTTCTTTGTTGGCTTGCGTCTGGTTATTGTGGCATGATCCTTGGAAGATCCTGGGTGATTCTTCGGGAAAGACATGATGAGTATAAAAGTCATGTACGGAATCCTTACCCAGCTATCGGAGAGAAGGCGTATGGAGGATGGGCTTCCTTGGCTGTAACCATTTCCATTAACCTCACGCTGATAGGTAAGACATTTTTAACATAATTCTGACTTTAAGATATACCCACATGTCTCGAACCGCAGGTCTGTGAACAAGAAAACAACATTCAGAACAACCTTTCTTGCGAAACCATAAACCATTCCTCACAATTACAGAACAGATCGTAACTATCGGTGGGCATTGCAAAATCACAAGCGATTAGTAAACAAACAAAGTGCATTTGGGTTTCAGATCGCTGAAAGATTGTTGGAAAATTGTAGGAAACCTTCCAGCGATCTAGACTACTCTGATCAGTTCAAAATTAGTTACGTGACGTGTTGAATCTACTACACTGTGTGCTATTAAACCCGGAGGCTCAGAATTTTCTCACTTCCAGTGAAGTGACGAAAATTTATAAGCGCATGAAGTTTAATTATTTACAAGTTTCCTACATACTCATCTGACTAAAACGCAACATCATTACTTTTATCACTCGTCAGTTCTCTGCTTCCTGTAGTCTTCTATTTGTTCCGCTCTGGCTTTATCCTCATTAATGCTCTCGGTAATACCGTGTGCCAGATATTTAAACAAAACATGAACATACAACTAAAAATCATACTGCCAAAAAAGAAACTGCGAACTGTGAACAAGATATTTTAAATATTTTCTTTTCTTTTATTAAGTTAATAACCATGTCGTTTTTGTCTTTATAGTTTCATACAATCAACAGTTACGTAACAAAAGCACGTAACGTATTTCGAACTTGGTTAGACCCGTAAACAAGTTACTTCTCAGCGCGAACTCACGAGTGTCAGGAGACCATATCGCTTAACAACATCGGTTTTGTGGGAATTCCAATATCGTTATTCATACCAATACCAATAAGCGATTTTAAATTTTAGTTAGAAGGAACAATGGCACAACCAAAATTCGCTGGGATCGCTTTCCCTCCTCTCGCGTGTCTCGTGCTCGGCCAAAGAAGATGGATGTAATGGAAAATTAAAAATAGTTGAATTCCGCTTGCTCACTGAATGCACATGCACTTCGATTCTTCCCTCAAAGGTTACAATGCTCATGTAAAGTTCATAGTGCACACAAGTCATGTGATAGCAAATCAGGTTCTGACATTTTCCCTTTGCCTTTTGCATTTTCTGTCGACATGCTTTTAGGGGGCGGTGTACACAGGCTACTCAGAGACCAGACTATATTCAACCCGTGGCTTAAATCTTAGAAATGTACAGGATACCCACTCCAATACAGTAGTATCATTTATGAGAGATTTTCTCTCTCTCCCTCAAGGTGTCGCCGTGGTATTTATGATCCTGGCCGCTGGAAACTTGTCAAATCTCATTGAACTGCCCGTTGACTACGCGAGTAAAACAGACGAGTTGCGGATATGGCTTGTTATCTGCTTCGCAGTTCTTCTTCCTTGCTCCTGGCTCGGCACGCCCAAAGAATTCTGGGGGATAGCGGTGGGCGCTAGTTTGGCAACTGCCGTGGCGTGTTTAATGATCTGTGTGTGTATTGCTTTGGATATGCCAACCGACTTGAAAAGTGTGCAACAGCCGACTCTTGATTTTGAGTGCTTTTTTTCAGGTATGTTAATGAACAAATCGAATTAATAATATCTGCATTTTCACTGATATAAAATTTAACATGTGGCTTCAATATCTAGTTGGTTTAAGTCCTCAGATTAACATAAGCAAACATATTTCTTCATTTCGAATCAACTTTCTGTCCCGGTTAAGTTGAGAGCGCTGCAGGACTTTTTATTTTAGGCAGGATAGAATACTGCCTGATGATCGATGTGTATTTTATGCAGTAGAAAACCAGAGTTGATCTTTTACCCAAGCCTCCAAACTTGTGCAAGTGACGCATAAGATGTTGATTCTTGCAAGCCAGCATGACCTCTAGTTCATGCAGCAGTTCGTCGCTATACGTACCTAACCAAAGCTTAGCTTGCGGCGGTTGACACATGCCTGTAATCCCACCAAGACGGACCAGTGTGCAAGCCCACAGCGCCAGCAGACGAAGGGGAGCTAAGGGAGTTTTTTTCTCTTCCCCTCGTCTTGCCCTCCGTACTCGATTGTGTCTCCTTTTTCGGCTGGATAACGCCTTTAGCTCATGCAGACTACATCTGTTTGCTGTCCCCATAAGCCAAGCAGTGAGCGTTGCGCAGACTTAAGTCTAAATAGCGCCTTTCATGCGTCGGACTCGCAATCCACGGTCCTGTGTTCGAGTCCCGTTCCTGGCCACTTGCTGGATTTGTTCTAGGTTTTCCACTGATTAAATCCTCGACCAAGCTTTTAAACGGCAATAACTGGTTGCCTCCAGCCAGTTGGGGTTTTAATCCTGTTATGCTGTATTTGGATTATTTGTATGTTATTTTACAGCTTTTGGCAAGATCCTATTCTCGTTCGGTGGTGTTTCGATTTTTCCAACAATTCAAACGGACATGAAGAAGGCGTCCAGGTTTCCACTGTCCGTCTTCTGGGCATACATCAGCGTGTTGGCTATGTACTTACCAGTGTCAGTGCTTGGATTTGTTACGTATGGCAGGGACATAACTCCTAATATTCTTGACAGCGTGGGGCGTGATGAAAACAACAATGTAGCGATCATATCGCAGGTTGTACTGGTATTAGTATCACTTCAGTTACTTGTTAGCTGCGTTATTACACTTAATCCTGCATCACAGCAGCTGGAAGAGCTCTGCAATGTACCAAGAAGTGAGTAGAGTTATAAAACAGCGTATTTACTCGAATAAGCGTTGTGGCGCTTGTTAAATTTCACGCTTCAAGTGCGGCGCTTATTTGAGGGCGGCGTTTATTCGAAAGTGGAACTAGACAATGAATTGTATTAACCTCGGAATTATTATTTTCCATACTAACTCGTTCGTCCCCGAGCCGCCCGTAACCGCCCGTGTGGATCCACGCCTCTTCCATCACTTGTGACGTCATCACTTTTTAATGGTCAAGGACACCTTTGCCGCTAACATGTGCAGAGTGAAACGATCTTTCAAACAATACCAGAACGAGCACAATTCAGTCAAGAAAAATGGAGAAAAAGGCAAAAAACCATGTAACATTGACCTGAAAATTTCCATGAAAATCTTGTTCCACTACCTACCTACCTTTCCTTTCATTTAATCCTAAGATCCTAAAAGCCTTCCTAAAAACATTTCCCACCAAAATGAAGCCTAGTTAATGCCCAGCTAAAGAGGGAAAAATGAGGCAAGAAAAGAGAAAAAAGAGGAGAGGAGAGAAAGCGAAAAGTAGAAGTCAAGTGTCCGTCCGGGGACGAGATTGAAGTTAACATTTTACATCTGGATCAGAAGGCCGCAAAGTGCACGTCAGTGACCAGAAAACCGCTCGACTAGCCTTAAAATGCGTTTTTCTGCAAAATTTCCGGTGGCGAATGGGTTAAACTAACATAAGGGCAAAGGCACTTATTCGTGGGAGGCGCTTATTAGAGTAAGTACGTACTACTAGTACTTTCTCAGTGTCTTATGAACTAGTCAATTCAAAACTTCAACTTGAGCCCCTCTTCCCCTTTGGGCAACCCACAGGGTATTTGATCTTTTGGGTGACGGGCCAAATAATGTTGAAATACCCCAATTTATGAGGAGAAATAGAGAGGAGAAGTCGTTACGTCACGTTGCCAGGGTAGCAAAATTTCTGGATGACAACAAACCAAAAACGACACTTAAAAAGTGAATTCACACTGTTTCAAAATTCATCGATCTGATTCAATTTCATTTAATTTGTGAAATGTTGGCGAAATTTTGTGGGGTTGAATCCGAAAGGGTCGTATCTAAGTTTAGAAAAAGAAAATTTTGTGTTGTGGTCATCGAATCCGTAAAGCGGGCGCGTTTCATGTAGTAGTCGTGCAACGATGGCTAAGAAATGTACAAAAAATCGTGATGCACGTGCAAAATTATTGTTTTATTAATCTAAACCGATTGCTTTTTCACCATTCTCCTTGCCGTCGCCATCGTCGTTGCTTAACCTCCCTATGGTTGCGATCCAGAAATTTTGGTACCATGGTAATGTGATGTCACACTTCTCCTCTCTATAGGCCCTCAAATCCCCTTATTCCCGTGACTGAGAAATTCAAAAAATATTAATAGGCAAGAAGGCATCCCCCAAATGCTCCATCTCTGCCCTAATTTTTTTATGGGTTATTCTCGTATCATTCTAGGCTCATATGGTGTAAAATTCCCCACCTCAAACATAACCAGTATTCTGGAATCCCCACCCCTCCTTTGCACACCAGGCCCCAGTTCTTTAAAAGGTGGATAACGCTATCCACTGGCTAAATCTGTCTCAAATGGATAGCGCAATGGTTTGTCCTACTACTTATCCGCTAGCCTGCGTAGCAGGCGCTTGGAAGTAGTGGGCACGAGAAAAAACGGGCGCGCGAGAAGGAGACACACGGGGGCAGACGCGATTTTCAGGGAACTTCCGTGCAGGCACTCCCTCACCCCTCGCGTGTCTCCCTCGCGCGCGCCCGTTCTCTCTTTCGCCCACTACTTCCAAGACCCTTTCGCTCGTGATTAGGGTTTCGTTATGTTTAGGTTTGAAGATCAAGGTTAATCCGTCTTTGTCTCAACAGGTTTTTAAGTGTTATAACCTTTTTTAAAATGGGTTTTTTCGACATAAGTGTCATTTATCTTGTGGTTTATTTAAGTTCGATTGTCATCTCTTGAAGTGGGTTTGTTTGCCATTATAGCTGACCTTGATTGTTACCCACATCGGAGTTCCTGTTTGGGTTCAAGGTAGAGCCTCTTGGGTTTTCAAGCTTTTATTGGTTTTCTAGATCTTGTTCTTGATTTGTTCAACCTTATGGGTTTTGTATTCACATACTTTGGTGATCAACAGGAAATTCGCGGGCTAGCTTGTCTAATTTACCGAGCAGGTAGTTACATTACTACAGTGGAACCCCGTTTATGCGACCACCGTTGGGCCATAAAATACTGGTCGTAATAACAAGGTGGTCGCATTAACGGGGTCCTCAAAATAATCAAATGACTCAATGGTTTTTACGTTTGGTTTGAAAGAATATGGCCGTAATAACGAGGTGTTCTTATAATCGGGGTGGTCGTAAGGCGGGGTTCCATTGTAGCATTAGTAATGTGGCCTTTTCATTATGGCATTACTAGCTAAGTGTCCAAGGCATTATACAATCTGTGTTTAACTTGATAGTGGACATCCTTACGGACATCCATGATATGGTCAACTGACAGCTGTCAAAACGGTATCTGCTGACCAGTGTCGCAGACTGCATCGGAGGGCTCAAGTGTACAACTCACGTGTGTACAACACACGGAATTACTTAGTTATCGTACATGTTCACGTACGCTACGCTCTACTGATCAAAAACGTCTGGCAGTTCCGAAGTCAAGACTTAAAACATACGGAGACAGGGCCTTTTCCGTTGCTGCACCTAAACTCTGGAATGAGCTGCCATTAGATCTTAGAAGTTTAGTTACAATTAATTTATTCAAGAAACACTTAAAGACTGATCTTTTTAAAAAAGCATATAATGTTTAACTTTTTGATAATTTAGAATAGGATTTATTGTGATATTTTTATAAATAAGACTGCTAATAGGTTTTTAATTTATTCATATTTTATTACCAGTGGGATCTTTTTAATTATTTTAATATTATGATTTGTAAAGCGCTTTGGTCAATTAGTGGAGTTAGCGCTATATAAATTATGTTATTATTCTTATTATTAACTCATTGAGGTGACCTGTTTTTAAAAAATATCCGCTGACCAGTTATTGGTTTTAATTGATCGCAGGCTCAGGTCCATAATGAAAAGGCCATATAATAAATAACTTATTAACCTCGTCCGTTCGTTCATTACAGGGAAATCTCAGACCTCGGCCTTGATGTATTGACCTCGCTTTCGCTCGGTCAATACATCAATGCATACATTTGAGATTTCCCCGTAATGACCTCGCTCTCGGTTAATAATCAGGTCTTGCGGTAGCTCTCTATTTTTAACCAAGCTTCCAGAGAGGTAAACTCGCTAACCTAAACTATTTTCTCTCTCTCTTTTTTTCACTCCAACAGAGTTCTGCTTCAAGCGATGCATCCTTCGTACAGTTCTCTTGTGTTTCATCCTCGGCATTGGCGAACTGATTCCCAAGTTTGGTCCCATCTTATCTCTCATTGGAGGCTCCACAGTGACAGCCTTAACATTTGTATTTCCTTGTCTGTTTTACTTAAGAATCGCACCCAACGTTCCACTCCACGTCAAAGCTTTCCTATGTGAAATCATGACTGTAGGAATTTTTGGCGGCCTTGGATCTACCTACTCGGCGATAAATGAAATCAGACAAGTGTTTATACAATGAAACATTCTCAATTCCGTTTGAGAACTTTTCAGGAGATAAACAACTCACACTCTATACGTAGAAAGCATTTAGTGTGGCAGTGCTTAATAGTGAATCTTATAGTTAGTACTTCATTTTCGCCCTCTCAAGGTGATATTTGCTACTGCGTATCGACAAAATATCAGCAAAACTTAATCAAAGTCAGTAGCCTGTTCGGTCATATTGTCTTTCGTCTTTGAATAACAAAGATGTTTAATCAGTCTTTTAGAACTGGTCAAGAGCCATAATGGCATAAGAGCCCATTATGGCTCTTGAATTGGCAGTATATTTCCCAACGACTTAAAACTTGCTCGGAAATCACCAATGTTTAATCTAGGTTTGAAATCAGACTCTGAAAATCACAGATCCTTTCAGTTCTACCAATGTAATATAATGGAAGGGCTGATGTATGATGCCCTTCGACAGTGAATTTCTCAACTCAATGAAAGTTCCAATTAGGCTTTAGACCCTTTATACGTTTAACATGTACTGCCTTCTTATAAGCTACTTATAGATGGTTACAGAATATAGACAAACACCTTTCTAAATGGTGCGCTTTTCTTACCTTAAAAGGTTTTTCGTTCCTGCCGATCACACTACGCTAAAGACAAAATTAGCATATCTTGATCAATATAGGAAGAGAGGAACTAACCTGCAGTTTAAGTATTAAGGCCGGTTTTCGCTAGAGATAATAGGGACCTTAAGCAAAGACGTTTTTGAGCGACGCACGTCAACCGGAAGTGAGGCCTTCTCCCTTTTTATATGCCTTGACGCTAACAAACTTGTATTGCTGAGTTTATTTTCTCTTTTAAAGACGATTTACCCGAGAGTTTCAACCAAACCACTGCCCAATGATGTAAAAAGTCCACTTCCGGTTGACGTCCGTCGCTCAAAAACGCTGTTGCTTAAGCTCCCTAATGTCGGAGCATTCGCCAAATGTCAAGAATGGTTTTAAATTAAGTATTAAAAATTTTCATAGACAGCCTTTTATTACCTTTTAGTGCAGCATATATCACTGTTCTATTTTCGCACAATTCGTGAGAAAAAAGGGTCTGGTCGTAGGACTGCTCGAAAATAAAGATTTTAATGACTGGTACGATTTGAAGCCAGCAAATGATACGGTAGTCGTGATTAGGTTTCTTTCTGAAATGATGATTAAACTGTAGGATGAAATACGCAACTTATGCAGTTGCGAAACAAAAATCTGAAGTTTGTACCGGTATCGCTGAGGTCGAGGTTCTATTCTGGACAAGCCTGAATTTTTTTCAAGCTTTCTTTCGCAACTTCTTTGTGATGATCTTCTTTGCGTTTCTTAAGGTTTCTTTCTCCTACTGATATTAAAAACTCTTTGCTTTTTTTCCCCTTCAGTTTATTGAAGGGCGCCGTTGGACATGCAATTTCCCTTAAAAAAGGGGATGCCGTACTTTTTTTTCGGCAATAATGCGGCAGGCATGAAATGAAATGTGACATTTCACATCGGCCTTTATGCATATGTACGGTGACGTCATAACCAAAATTTCATTCATTGAAAGGTTACTATATTTTTTTTACCCTTGCTACTCTTTGAAGAGCTTCTCTCTAACTCATCTAACTAATTTCTTCGTAACCACAACAAGTTTATTGTCTTTGTTCATCTTAGTTTATGAACAGCAACAAATCAAAACATTTATTACTGCTGATCAGGTTACAGAGTCGCCGCTTTTTTCAATGGTTAAAAAAAGGTGGAGGCTGTGATATGTAATCAAAACCTGACAACAAACTTCTGAATTCAGGGCTGCAGGTCCATTCAGCCACGTTTCATAAAAAAGAGAACAGCCTATGAATCAAAACCTTACCGAACAAAAGAGTCTCACTTGCTATCCCGTTGCGAAACGAGTACTATTGTCATCGAAATTTAAACTCTTGATTACTGTAATCACGCCTCAAACTGAAGCGGCAAGAAAATTACACCCGGTCATGATCAGGATGATCATCACGGCATGGCAAGGCGCTGATCATTGGTATTGCGGTGCGGCACCATTACACAGATCACCTTTACAGCAGTACAGTTTGCAATTTCAAAATCACATTTAGAATTTAGTTCAAAAGAGTGACAACCCTCAGTAGATCCTTTCTCTCCATAAAACTTAGCACAGCAGTTCTGCCTGGAGCTACTGCAGGACTCAGCTTCCGTGCGGTTTGCACAGTCTTCCCAACTGCAAATTAATAACAGCGGTCGCTTACACAGAGATTACTCTTCAAGCCACACGCAGCAAAATAGCATATAATAAAACGTCGATAAATGCCAGCGAGTCACTTTAGTCCATCACGGCAAAAGTTTTAATGATTAGGACCTCAAAAGTATTGTCCATATTGATACTTTTATCTAAGAGAGATCTATGAAAGATCTAAGGCTTAAAACATTAACTGTTGGCTGTTATTTTCCTTCTAACAATAGCGAAAATTAAACCAAACAGTCACATTATTGCCGAACAGCAAAACAATTTTTAAGATGAACATACTATTGCCTTGCTTCAACCAATCTGTTCTTTATTGCCTCCTTTTCACACAACGTTCGGCAGTAATATACTTTTCCGCCACAGGGCCCGGTTGCGTGAAACACCCGTAACAATTATGGGTATACTTACGTGTACTCGTAACTTAAATGAATTGCAATATATCACTTAAGTGCTCCACTTAGGGAATTCACTTAAGTGGTTGCACTTACGATTTTCGTAAGTGTTCACTTAAATGTCGTTGTGAAAAAAGAAGGACAACAAATCGAAACAAACATTACCAGTAGATATTGAAGTAAAATAACGATTAGATCACCTCCATACACGACCAAACCATTGGGATGTGCCTTCAAAAAATCATCCATGATATCCGTTTGGTAATGAATTAACTCCGTTTCATTGTGCATTGTCTTGGGAGAGTGATAAATTCCACAAATTAGAACTTTGCACTCCTTTCAACTGTTTTTAACGCGCTGTTTTAAAATATGAATAAATCACATAATCAAACGGTTTTCTCGGCCTTTTCACAGATATTAAATACATCTGCTAGGGATTTTGGGCCTTTTTACAGACCGGAAAGACAGATTTCCTCAGCTTTCACATAATTCAACTACTGAAATCCTTAACCTTTATATGCCAAATCAGAAACCTAAAAAAGGTACCCATTTTGGGCTTAGTCTCTCTGTATAGGTCTTCATAGGGATTCAGGCCCTCGAGCTTCAATTTAATGCGGCTAATAACAATGACAAACCAAACACTGAATATTATTCCTGAGCAGGAAAACTATTTTTTAAAATGATCATATTATTGCTCAGGTTTTTTCAATTAATCCGTCCTTTATTGCCTCCCTGTTGACATGTAGCGTTCAGCATCAATTAATTTTGCGTCATAGGGTCGTAGATTCACAAGTAAATGTCAACAGGAGGCAATTGCCGAAGATGTTCGGTTTTAAACTGGCCCTCTAAGTTTATTGTATTGCTGGAAAGCGGACATAGCTGTCTTGGCGAAGCAGAACTGGTTCAGCAAAACTAGATAGCATGGGCGAATGACTTACTAAACTAGAAAGAACCAATGAAACTTACCAAAGGAGACGCAAAGAAGAAGTCCAGAAGAGAAAGTTTCCTTTTCATCTTCGACGAACTTAACTGTTGGGCGCAACTGACCCGAGCAAAATGTTCATTGGGAAAGAAAAAGCATACTTATGTATTTTGTAGAAAAGTGCCTTTCCCTCATTATATCACAGTAGTTAACCACTCCAAGTGGCCGATAAAATATCAGTCATTACTTTCCACCGACCAGAGCCTGGTGAATGTAAGTTGATATACCCAGGAAGGTTACAGAAAGGTTACGGAAAGATCGCTGCTTTCGCGCGGATCTAAAATGCGAACAGTTCGTTCAAAGGGAAAATGAAAGACCAGTTTTATCATCCCTCTTACGTACGTAACAGGCATTGAGAGACTGTAGGAACACCTTTTTTTCTCATTTCCATCAATGGTTAATAGAAAGGGAATATTTCTTTGTTATCACTATGAAATAAATTGCATCGCTACTTTCGGCCATGGAGGGTCGTTACTTTGGAAACTTCGCGGTATGGGTGGGGACTTGGCAAATGACAGACCCTACAGGGTCTGACTATTCCCGATATCCTCACGGCTCCGCCCCGTTTTTTTTTTCTCGAAATTTTAGGTGAATTTCATTTTTAAGCAACCAGACATAAGTTCCATTATTCTCTAGAAGTTTCCAGTCTGTCATCTTCTAAAGTGACTTTTATTAAACCACACCGTATATTGCAGAGAAATCTAAGATCAGGCTTTACTTTCGTCCATAGGGTAAAGCGATCAATCGATTATTTATGTATAGTTGTAAAAAAATTGCCAACATCACTTTAAAATTGTATGTTGACTAGGATACGGAGCGTTAAGTTTGTATAAAAATGCGTTAATGTTTATCACCACTGTTGGCGTTCCATTTCTGATTAAGCTACGATGGCCCAGGGTCGAAAAGCGGAAATTCTGAGAGCTCGGCAGAGAAATACGCCAGCAAAGCAAGATGCATTCCTTTAATTTCGGATCCGAGTACATCAAATGACTGATGAGTCCTTTCCCAGGGTGGATTCTTCGGGTTCTGTGTTTAATGATCCGAGTGATCTTAGAGCTCTTTCCATTTGTCCGAACTGATCGGCCAGACCATTCCTGTCGCAATGACAGTTTCCCTTTTAATTAATCTCTCCAGCCAGATCAGTAGAATCCTTAATAGTATGCACGAAGGAGATGGTGTTTAGCAAAAACTCTTGGAAAAAGCCCATTTCATTTTCAAACTGACCAATGGAAATACAAATGGAAAGCGCCCTTAGATCACTGATCCTGACCCGGATTATCCTAATGGAAAGCACCCCTAATCAAGATTCCAAGACTAAAGCTGGAGTCGCATGGTCTAGCACGATAAACAGTTTTCCAGTGGGACTCTCACCTCCCCTACCCCCCCCAAAAAGAAATAAAAATAAAAAGAATAATAACCAAACCAATTATTTTTCCTTGTTTGTTTTTAACATAACAACGATTTAAATTGTTAATAAAAACATTTATTACCCTGAATGACTTACAACTTGAGGTAAATCTTAAAAAGAATTTGCAATCTCTCATAAAAACCAAGAAAGTGATCTTGCATTGATCAAAACCTAAAAACGACGTTACACTTGATCATATAGATAGAAACAAACGCTAAATGATTTACAATCTCCTTTGACAGGAGGCCTTTGATAAATAGCTTAATTCAAACTAAACACAACATCGAATCAGGCACACTTTAATTATCCTTTTACCGCGGAAAATATTGCAACACTTAATTACTTAAAAATGATTAGGGCTTTAAGTGAAGTGGTCAGAACAGCGCACGCGCTGAGGATGATGGCGCTGACCAGTGGTACTGTGGCAGAATTGCCCAGTGATATTGTGCCAGCATTGCAAAGATCTCCAGAGCAGCAATCCACCTTACAGGTTCCCTTCTTACAGTCCTTGTTGTATGCGGCAGTTTTGCACTTCTCTGCCGAGAAACAGTCTTTTCTAAAAGCCTTCTTTGATGATCCGTCCTCTTCCCAATCTGCGTAGCCCTTAACACATCGGTTCTCACCAGAGCTGCAGTTCTCGACGTCTTTGCGGCTTTCACAGTGATCCCAACTTTTCTTGCTTTTACACTCATAACACTGTAAGCCACATGCTAAAATAGAACACATAATCACACTTTCAGAATTTTTTTGGGAGTCATTACATTATAAAATATAGCAAAGCAGTGGTAACTGATTTCGGTGGTAACTGATTCAACAGGTACCTTTTCGGTTCTTTCAAGAGTCTATACTACTGGCTCTATTAAAGGACTATAGCGCTCCAGCTCTTAACAATGGTTCTTATCACTGAAGAACACACCAGCTGTCGTCGCATTAAGAAGGGCATTGTCATTTTTGTCATTAAACAGAGAAAGCTCTCCCTGGATAGGGACAAGGTACAGTGGACTTCTCGATCATTTTTATCCGGGCTTTCCTTAACTTATCTGCTTTTATCGCTGATGAAGTTAGAGCAAAAAAATTCGAATGTAAAATCTGTTATTTACTTTGATTTTTTTCAACGATGATTACTCCGCCAGTGGAGAAGATCAGAACAACATTTTTTAGTAGTGATAAATACTAAGTAGTATGATAGTACTAAGGTTGGCTCTCTAGTTATTTACCGTGGGGGGTAGAGAAGTTTAATTTTTAGCTCATGGATGACGTAGTCATTCCATGGGCTTTTGGAGGCACTCGAATGATCACTCACTCACTCACTCACTCACTCACTCACTCGACCACTCACTCAATTGATGCAAACTTCATCAATTTAACAGATCAAGAAGAGACGCAAAGGAGAAATGTAATGCTAAAGCAAAAAGTCCCCCATTCATCTTTTGGGAGAACTTTTAAGGCGAAATTAATCTCAGCAAAGTTAGCTCCTCGGTTAGCTGTTTCAATATTACATGGAACACACTACATTCATCGCATTGTATTTTTCCCTATTCTGACAGTGAACCAATCAAAACGGTCGATTAAATGTCTATCACAACTGTGCACCAATCAGAACTTTAGGGCGCTGACTCGTAATCTATCCTTTTATCGAAAAGCCAAGCGCTTCGCTTGTTTCTCGGAATTCTACGTAACTCTACTTTCTAAAAGTAACAAGAAGGTCAAGAAGCTATGGGAGCGTGCAATTCGACGTCGTGGTTGTGGAATTAATTGTGAATGCGGAGGAATAGTAAGAAATGATATTTTCCCAGATACCCTTGCGTATCAGGCCCTTACTTTTCTCCTTTGAGTAACAAGACGTCTTAACTTCTTCACCGGAAGTCTTCTAGGTGCATGACTGTGTTTCGATTGTGATTTTTGTCATAGATAAATTTGCTCAGGACGAGATCTCAATTCTACTTCCTTTATTTTCTCTACAACAACACTTTCCTTTTTGATGTGCAGTTAGCTCCACACCTTCAGCAACGTAACTAACATCAGTACACTCCTTTACAAAACTTGCTGAAAATGCACACATCTCCACACCGAGGATAATTCATATACAACGTCGCAACATAAGCTTTAATAAATTATTACATGAAAAGCAATGACACTCAATACAAAAACAAGTATAAAAAAAACTATTCTTTCAAACAAAACTAAAAGAAGAACAATGATAATCATCACCGTTGCAAAACCACGGTAACTGCGTTTTGCTTCTCCTTGTTGACAATCTATCGCTTTCCAAATCGCTTCGTCTACAAGCAACGCAAACGACCGTACCAATTCCTTCGAATCACTCTTGCTGCAATAATTGCCAATCACTCTCATCGTTATACACATTTCTGTCCCCCAAATTTTTTGCATGAAGGCATTTAACTTGTGTAATCTTGACTTTGTTAAAACCGATTTTGAGACATCATTCTTCAACGTCGCAAATCCTTTTTAAAAATCACCTTTGCGCTCCGCCTCAAATATTTATTGTAGCCGAAAGAACTAGAACTGATCTCGCGATATCTCCAACTCATTCCGGTGTTGTACGTCAAATACCCAACAAGCCGACAAGTAACAAACTCTTTCCCCGTACCTCGTGCATAAGCTTACGGCTATTTTTCACATCTCAAGTCAGTGGCGCAATCGGCTAATCCCAATTTACTCACTCCGCCGAATTAAAAACAAGAGGGCATGAAACTGGGAAATGCATAGGGTGGGGGTTGGGGGTAAAAAATGTTTGGCTATAAAGGAATGTGGATTCACAACTTCTGCTAAATCAACAAAATAACCACAAAAAAAAAAATGGGAAAGCCGAAGCGGAGGAGGGATGAGGCGTCGGCTTGCTAGGAATTAGTTGAGTTTTAAAACTTCAGAAGAGTCCACTGTATTTGAGACAAATCGAGTAAGTTACAATAATCGAGATATGGTTTGAAAAAACTTGAGTTCACCGTTACATTGTCGTCGCCCGTGGTGGTATTCTAAACTCCCTAGCAATGTACTCCCTTCACGCAATGAAATTTCAGGAATTAGAATTTCCGTTCCAGAGCTGCTGTTCGAAGCGTATAAGTCAACACAGTTCGATCAAACTCTATCATTCATAAACGTTCTTAGAATTTTGGTGGTTTATCGAAGACTAACACGAAAAGTTTTGTTTGACAACTGTTTTCATTGCACGTGTGGCCAGTTGAGGAGACATGCAGTCTAAAAACTCATGAATGAATGTATGAAACCTTAATGTGCCGTTAACAGATTATTAACAAAGTACTTTTTTGTTGAACCATGGAGATTTATTTAGCAAATAAAAAGACAATGCTTCGTACATACTTGGTGTAGTCACTGCATCGAAACAGCAAAGCGTTCTTAAGAGTATCAGAAGTCGTAGTACGTCGTTTACCGGTGCGTCGCGAAAAATTACAGCCACTTCTGCCTCGTTGTTAATTATTGGCTCAGTGACAAGCCTGTCTATATAACTACCACTGAAACTTGAATTGTTGGTTTTCACTTGACGTCACTAAAATTCAAACTACAAAACTTTCGATCCTACTGAGCTTTTACTTTCATGGTATATTAGAGCAGCTGAAAACTAATTTTCAAACCAATTTTCGCTTCAAAAGGGTTCTTGGTTTTGTAATAGAGTACGCTTGAATTTTTAAGCTTTTGCCTGACGCAGCATTTACATGACGGCCGAGAGAGCTGTCATTGAGGTTAAAAAAAGTGACTTTTTTCGAGGAATTTTACTATCTAAACAGTTCAAGTATTAGAAAAAGTATTACTTTAATGTTTATGAGTTCCTCGAAGAATAAATTCACCCTTTTGTAGCAAAACTCGGTAACAGATGTTTCTCAGTAGTTTCCGTCTGCCATGTTGGAGCTCATCCGGATGAGCTCCAGCATGGCGTCTCCATACAAAGCTCTATAAATCCGTTTTTATTGCCTCCTGTTGACACAACGTTAAGTATCTGTTACTTTCCCGCCAAAAAATCCTAGAACAAAAAATCAGTGCGAAGTTGTTCGGTTAAAAACACGCGCGCACGGCTTTGTATCGGTTAACTGACATTCTTGATGTCATTCTATTGCTGGCAAGAGGAAATAACAGTCTCGGCGAATCAGAACTTCGGTTCAGCAAAACTAGAAAAAGGCAAAACTTACCAAAGGAGAGGCAAAGAAGAAAGGACAGAATAGAAAGTTCCCTTTTCATCTTTGACGAACTGTTAGGCGCAACTTATCCTAGCAAAATGTTCATTGGGAATGAAAACGCATACGTATGTATTTAGTAGAAAAGTGCATCCTTTCCCTTAGATATCACAGTAGTTAACCAATCCAGATGGCCGATAAAATGCCAGTCATTATCTTCCACCAATCAGAGCCTTGTAAAATGTAATTTTATATACCCAGGAAGAGTACGTATAGGTACTTTCGGAAGATCGCTTCTGCTTTCCTGTAGCTTGAATGGTAACAGTTCGTTACGAGAGAAAAGGCCGGTCATCCCTCTCACGAACCTAACAGGTATCCAGAAACAATAGAAAACTTTTTCAGTCATTTCCGTTAATGGTTCATAAAACGGAAATATTTCTTTGTAATGACCATGAAATTGGATCTCTACTTTTCCCTGGGGGTCTTTACTTTCGAAACTTGACGGTATGCCACTTTGCAAACTGATGACAGGCGCTCCTTGAGCGGCTCGTAGTACATCGTAGGCATGATTTCCTTAGGGTCTGAAAATCTTGTAAATATCCCGTGACTTTTAACAGCTCTCCGAGGGTAATATAATTAATAATGTCCCGATCACATGATACACTCGGCATATCTGCGCCAGCGATCTAATTCGTCATCGAGTTGGGACGGATACGATGTTTACAAAAGGGGCTTAATCGGATTTTTAGAAAATGTTGATAGCATCTTTGATTGATACTGTCTGCAGCAACAGGGCTAATAGCAACCGGTCAGCTACTTGACTAATTCCTCTCTTATCTACAGCCGACATCACTGAAAACCTAGCCTGCGTAACAGGTGCTTGGAAGTAGTGGGCGAAATAGAGAACGGGCGCGTGCGAGGGAGACACGCGTGTCTCCTCGCGCGCCCGTTTTTTCTAGTGCCCACTACTTCCAAGCGCCTGCTACGCAGGCTACTGAAACCCTTTTAGTACGGCATGACTGGTGTGTTTGCCGAAATGTAGAAAAATTTGAAAGAACTTATATCCATTCAATGTTTCATACATGTTAGAAAAAAAACCGCTGTTAGTTCCATTTTGTGCCTTATATCTTTGATATTTTAAGTATTTGATAAATTATGCCATTTAAATTTGTTGTTGGACAATTTATTCGTTCGATAATTTACTGAAATATCCATTCGATATTTATTCGATAATGTAGCTCAAATCCGTTCGATCATTTACTTTAATATCCATTCGATAATTTAGTACAAATCCATTCGATAATGTACCACAATATTCATTCGATGATTTACTAATTCCATAATTCACTACAATATTCATTCAACAATATACCACAATATTCATTTGATAGTATGACTAATATTCATTCGATACATGATGTGTCACAATGTTCATTCGATAAATGTCTTGTAAACATTCAGTCCTGCACGTGACGGACTCTTCCATGTTTGGACAAGAAGGCCTGGTGGCTAAGCCTAAACCAAAATCAGATGGCGGAGATTGAGTGGAAAAGTATTGCGCCCTATTTGCTCAGTTTGCTAGAAAAATGTGAGCTAGGCTTAGAAGAAGCCAAGTATCCCATTACCGCCAATGTATTTAATGGGGTCGAGTTAGCCCTATCCGTTATTCGTTTTATTGCGGATAGCGCCGATGAACGGCAGCCTTTGTTTGTAAAATTTCTTTTTGCTTATTTGATATTTATTACATCTGAATCAGACAACTGTTAAACTACGTAGGTGTATTGCTCTCACATAATATCAAGTAGCAACAACAGAGCGTAAGGGTTTGTAATGTGTTTTGAAAGGACGTTCTTCGGGTTTGTAGCTTTCGTGGTAACATTGCATCTCAGTGAAAAAGTGGAATCGCCTTTGTCATGTATTAACGCCTTTGAATATAAATTCCTTTTCTTGCTATCAACAATAACAATTTCACATACCAAAACTGAAAGAAACTGTAGCAACAACTTTATCGTAAAAAAATACTTGTCTTTATAAGTCCCTTATAAGTACAAATGAATGCTGGCTGCAAGTGTTCTCTTAAAAGAAGATGCTATTTAGTTGTTCAGGGAAATTAGTTCGTTTCTATGTTATTAATTTTGTTTCATTATGTGCGAAAATAAAAAACACATTTCCACGGTAATACAGTAGACTAGGTATCCTTGAAATCACAGGGATTAGCTATTTACCATGCTACGAGCCTCCGTTGAGTGGATCTTGTTTACTGTGGGTAATGTCGACCGAGATATCGGTCGATATAGCGGTCGATATAGCGGTCGACACTCGGTCGATAGTCGGTCGACACTCGATCGACAGTCGGTCGATATAGCGGTCGATAGTCGGTCGATAGTCGGTCGATAGTGGGTTGACACTCGGTCGAGACACGGCCGATAGTCGTTCCAGATGTGTCTCAGCCGATATAGCTTTTCGTTCACCGACACTTCGCCGACTTTTCGCCGACATTTCGCCGAAATTTCACCGACACGTCGCCGATACTTGGTCGATAGTTGGTCGATACTTGACCGATGTGTCGGTCAGTAATTGGTCGACACTCGGTCGATGGTCGGTCGACACTTAGCATTTCCTACATTTTCCTACATTTTTGCGGGACCACAGGAGCAGCAGATTCAACTTAGGCTGAGACAGGTTCTATTTAACAGCTAAAACTCAGACGATCGGTGATGATACAAACTGGAAAAAAAAAGGTTATCATGTTCTTAGTTCCCAGTGCTCTTCGGTTCTCTTCATAGCGTAATCGCGCCTTGCACTGGCACATGTTCCCCATCGCATGATAACAGTAATTAATGACGTCTTTGCTTAAAAAAAAGCCATAGGACTCACCTGATAAATTAACACACGACTAATATTCGAACGACAGTTGACCGATATACCACCGACAGTTGACCGATATACCACCGACAGTTGACCGATATATCACCGACAGTTGACCGATATATCACCGACATATGACCGATAGTAAGTAGAGGTGCGTCGACGAAATATCGACCGATACTCGGCCGATAGTCTATCTCACTATCGACCGACTATCGACCGACTATCGACCGACCATCGACCGACCATCAACCGACTATCGACCGACTATCGACCGACTATCGACCGACTGTCGACCGACTATCGACCGACTATCGACCGACTGTCGACCGCTATATCGACCGACTGTCGACCGCTATATCGATCGCTATGTCGACCGATATCTCAGTCGACATTACCCACAGTAAACAAGATCCAACAGGGATGGATTTGAAAGAGCACCGCAGGAACATCACCGTTCCAGAGTCAGAGTCAAAAATCCGTTCATAGTACAAATTTGCGCGCTTTAGACACGACATTGGCTAACAGTGCGTCGTAATTATATATTTCTAGTGAAAAATAGGAAGGGACTGCTCGCGAAGTATTTAGAGCTACTTTTTCTCACACATCGCTCAGAGTGCTGTCCTATTCTAAGGGCCTGTGCTCACAGGTTTTTTTAAAGGTAAAACGTCCTTTGATTCAAAGTTGCATAAATTATTGTTCTTGTTGCTGTCGACCATGCAGGCAATGTCTGACCGTCGTCCCACCCCCAATTGAAGAACATTGTCATACGCACAAGAAAGCCCGGTCACGGGTAGTCTCGTGGAGGATTGAATGTTTACAGACATATATCGAATGAACATTGTGACACATTATCGAATGAATATTAGTGAAATAATCGAATGAATATTGTGGTATATTGTTGAATAAATATTGTGGTAAATTATGGAATTAGTGAATCATCGAATGAATATTGTGGTACATTATCGAATGGATTTGTACTAAATTATCGAATGAATATTAGTAAATTATTGAATGGATAACTTAATTTATCAAAAGATATTGGCGAAATTGTCCAACAACAAATGCCATAATTTATCAAATACTTAAAATGTCAAAGATACATGGCGCAAAATGGAACTAATAGCTGTTTTTTTTCTAACATGGAAATATTGAATGGATATATTAAGTACTTTCTAATTTTGCTACATTTCGGCAACCATAAACTAGTACTGGGAACGATAAACCGATAAACTTACGTAACAAAATTGCCGAACTAAAGGGCAAACTACAGAAAGTTTCTGACGACCTGTCAAAGAGGAAGAATCAACATGGCCGAAGACTCGGAGAAAGAGAAATGGTCGAAATGTTACCGGGAAAAGCGCATTCGATAGAATTTGTGTCAAGCCAATACTATGAAGACTTCGTCTGTCTGAAAGAAGAAGCTGAGGAGGTAAATTTAGGAGCTCAGCTCAAGAGTAAATGAAATTTCAACTCTGTGCGATCATATTACGAAATCTATCGAAGCCTCAAAAGCATACAGCTGTCAATTCAGCATTAAAGTCGTGGTTGTGCCAATAGATATTTTCACGGTTTATGACGCCATCTTGGCTGGGGGGCAAACACGGCTAAAATTACAGTGAATGTATGGGATTTTAGCCCATTTGGAACTGCTATAACGCCGCTACAAAGAGGCGGATTTGCACAGCGAAAATCTATTTTAAAAGACATTTGTACTGACATTCAGGTTATAACAACCGTAAACGAATTTTTAAGATTTCATACAAACCCTTCTAATCAACATTACGCAAATTACCATGAAATTAGAAGCCACATGAGAAGATTTATAATTCGAATTTACGAGCGTCGTACCTTCTTTATAGCCTCATTTTCTGTTGAATGAATGATATCAATAAAACTATCATGATTGAAAGTCGTGGTAAATGTTGGCAATCCGCCTCTTTGTAGCGTCGTTATGGCGGTTTCAAGTGGGCCAAAATCCCATACATTCACTGTAATCAGTGTAATATTAACCGTGTTTGCTCCCCGGGCAAGATGGCGTTAAAAACCTTGGAAACGTCTATTGTAGCCAAACGTGAAACATCTCAACAAACAGCCCATCTCTGTCTAAAGGTAGTCGCTGCGTTGGGAGCTCGAGGACGTTTCAGTGACATCGACACTGCACATCGGGGTGCCATCCGGGGTGGCTTCCAACAGACCAAACGCCACTATTTGAAAATTCGTGCGTAGGTAGGGAAAGTAATGGATGGCTGCCTAACTTAAATGAACAGATTTGGTCTAAGTCACATCAACCTATATGATCATCCAAGGCTGCAAGTTCTACTATTTGAGAGTAAAAAAGTCAAGGATGCGAACAATTACAAATATTGTCGGGCGAAGAATAGATTCGTTTATTTGCAACGATAACTTTCAAAATTAAAAGTATGTTGACTAGCGTACGAAAGAGGTTAATTTTGTATAAAAATGCTATATTATTTATTATTTCTTATTGACCTAGGATGGTCCAGGGTCTCAAACGGACATTATGAGAGCTCTGACGAAAATGTCGCCAGCACAGCAGGATATAGATGCGTACCTATGAGACGATCCGGATTAGAATAAGTGATCTGACATCCCTCGGAACATAGCAAATCAATTGAATCAATGAATCCTTTCCCAGCATTCATTGGTTCCTTTAATGCGTTATGACCCGAGTGATCTCGGATTGCCAAACCTGATCGGAATCATCCCAATGGAACGCACTCTTAATCAAGAGACCAGGACTAAAGCTAGAGTTGATCTAGCATGATAAACAGTTTTCCAGTGGGACACTCAACCCCCCTCCCCCCAAAAAATATTAATAAAAAAATAAAGAGTGAGAGTACCTTTCCTCGTTTGTTTATTTTTTAACAGAACAACGCTTTCAATTGTTAATAAAAAACATTTATTACCGTGCATGACTTACAGAGTTGAGATTTTCCCTAAAAATGTCTCTAAATTTTCACAAAAACAAAGAAGTGATCTTGCCTTTATCTAAACCTAAAAACAACGTTACGTTCGATTAGATAGAAACAAACGCTAAGTGGTTTACAATCGTTCTTTCATAAAAAAGCTTAATTAGAAACTAAACCCAACAACGAATCAACGAATCTGGGACCTATAAACAGCCACACTTGAGTACTCTGTTCATGGCTTAGAGAGAAGTGGCCAGAACAGCGCATACGGTGAGGATGACGGCGCTGACCAGTGGTACTGTGGCAGGATTGCAAAGATCTCCAGAGCAGCAATCTATTTTACAGGTTCCCTTCTTACAGGCTTCGGTGTCTGTGGCAGTTTTGCAATCATCCGCTGAATCACAATCTTTTTTGTAACCCTTCTGTGATTTTCCGTCCACTTTGAAATCTACGTAGCCCTTTAAACATCGGTTGTCACTAGAGGAGCAGTTCATCACTTTTTTGGCGCTTTCACAGTCATCCCAACTTTTCGTGCTGAAGCACTGATAACACTGTAAGCCACATGCTGAAATAGAACCCATAGACCTTCAGAATTTCAGGGAATTATTGCACTCCTTTCTATATATACAGCAAAGCAGTGCTAACAGATTGTGGCCCGAGTACCGTTTTCCCTCTGTTGTTAGCACGGATAGCTAGATCTTTTAAGAATCTACTGGTTCTGTCGCAAGGCCTATAACGCTCCAGCAATGCTCTTGATAATCGTTCTGACACATGGAACCCGAACCGGCGCTAGATAAAACAATCAGTTGTTATTTACCTGTGTTTCCTGAGTCTTAAAGAGCGGTTTTGGAAAGTATATGAATCCACTGATTAGATTCAAATCACTTCCAAAAAGGCTCATAAGGACTTCGGAAACACAGGTAAATAACTGATTATTTTATCAGCTAATACAGCGTTCGGGTTCCCTGTGGCGATGACAAAGTTACGTAGACTTAATTTATTTGGTTTTATCGCTAACGAAGTTCAAGTAAAAAAATTCGAATGAAAAGTCTATTATTTCCCCGTTTTTTTTTCAACCACGATGTCTTCGCTAGTGAAGAAGAACAACATTTTCATGATAATACTAAGTAGTATGATAGTCAGGTTGGCTTCCTCGTAACCTAAGAAAAGTTTCATTTTCATCTTTTTGAGCGAACAGATTTCCAGTTAAATTAACCCGCAAGCTTGTTTCATGGACAGGGTCTCCTCTCCTCATTCATTTAAAGGCAGCGAATCGGTAGAAATGACCTCAGCAGAACCAAGAATGTGAAATGTTTGGCCAGTAACGGCCTAAATTCGGATGAGAGTAGACCCTTGTGATGTATTAAACCTCACAAATTAAACTCCTTTAGCAGTTAACTTTCATTTGAAATCATTTTGTTTTTTACTCTAGTAGTCATATAATGAAGTTTCATAGCTTTCTTGACAACATATTCTCCTTTGGCCTTTAGTAGCTCTATACTATAAGTATAGTATAAGAGTTTCAACTAGCAGCAAAAATAGCTCAGTTTGTTTCGTAGACAACTGTTTCCACGTGCTTAATTAGGCCGGTTGCCTCACGTCAACTTTAACGAACTATGAAGACTCAGTTATGAAACATTTTTTCATGCTCTTTATCCGCTACACGAGACCCAACCATGCATGCTTTTTAGGGACAGTCATTTGAGTGCTTTTTTCTTAAGTGACAGAATGTCACAGCAAAATAAACTCAGGGCATTAACATTACGTCAGTTTTAACCTAGGGTCAATCAGAATGGGAGGTGCCTTATCAATAATCCTTACAAATGACAGACCCGATTCCGGGAAAATATGAATGAGCCCTTTCTCAGTTTCTAGGAATCTTACGTGGAACCCTATTTATTTCATAACCAACGGATAGACATTGAGCTAAGAGAGAATGAACCCATTCACTAGAAATTAAAAAAGTCTAAAATTGACGAAAAAAATGAAAACTTTGAAATTAACGTTATGACTACGGTATACTGATTCAGAACTCCATCAACAACCTAACACGAAAGAGCACTTTTAATATTTCTTTCCCTTACTGATCATGACGTTTGAGAAGTTCACTTGCATTTGACAAATCATTTTCGGAGTGAAAGTTCTCACTCCCTTACTCTGTGGTGGTACCCCTTAATACTTCTCTCATGCTCCTATATTCACGAGTCACGATTGCATACTATAATCATAGCTGGAATTTTCCGTCTTCAAATGTGTGAAAGTTATACCGTCACGGAATTTTGATAGTTCTTTGTACAGAGGAATTCAGGCTGCAGAAGATCATGGCAAGACATCATTTCCTTCGAGCCCAAAAACAAATTTTACTAGAAATTCTATTCGACGTAGAGATTCAAAAGCGTGGAACAGTTTACAATAGCTAAAACCTGTCAAAAGAGTTTTAACAATTATCTCTCGCCAAATTTGATGTACTTCTAATTCAGCAATAAAGTAGACTTCGATCCCATTTGAACCACGAACCAAGACAATTATAGCATTACTAGTGGAAATGAACTTTTTAAAGCAACAGTAAAGCTATTTCAGTGATACAAGCTGATATGTTAGGAATTTGGTGGTTTATTGAAAGCCTCTGTCAAATGAAAGTAGGCGCTGGCTTATCCGTGAACGCGGAAACGTTTTGTTGTTTTACAGGGCAGCTGTTTTCATTAAACGTGGCCAGTTAAGTTTTAATGTTACAAAGTGTCTTTTCACTAATGCATGAATACAACTTTCAATATAACGGCCTATTGACAAACTCAGCTTTTTCTGATGATCCTCCATTCAGATCAATTTAATACGTAAAGACAACCGTAACAAAGACGAAGCGTAATCTTGTAAGGAACGACTGAACATCATATCATCGTATACCCAATACAGCGAAGAAAGTACAGCCCTAAGAAAGGGAACTTTGAATAAAACCGTTTCAAATTCGCTATGTATCGATCGACTCCCATGTCATCTAATCATTGCGAGAAAGAACTAGGTGGCAATGAGCGAATCAATGCAATAGAACGGACCAAAAGTACTTACCAAAAGAAACGCAAACGAGAAATGTCAAAGCAAAAAGTCCCTGATTCATCTTTGGGAGAACTTTTAAGGCGAAACTTCTCTTCAGCAAAGTCAGCTCCCCGGTAGCTGTCCCAGAAAGTAAAGTGGTCTTTTACATGGAACACGCTATATTCATTGCATCGTATTCTTCCCTATTCTGACAGTGAACCAATCAAAACGGTCGATTAAACGTCTATCACAACTGTGCACCAATCACAACTTTAGGGCGCTGGCTCGTAATTTATAGTTAAGATCAATAATCCACCGGTATCGAAAATTGGCTTGTTTCTCGGAATTTTAGGCAAGTCTGCATTTCAAGTGATTGAAGAATGCGTAGCGTAGGGATTGGGGGTCAAAAATGTTGTGGCTATAAAGGCATGCGGATTCACAACTTCTGCTAATTCAACAAAATAACAAAATCGAACACGGGTGAGGTGCCGCTTTGTTAGGAATTAATTAAGCTTCAGAAGAGTCCACTATATTCGGGACAAATCGAGTGAGTTAGAATAGTCGACATACGGTTTCATATAGAACCCAGAATTCACTGATCGTGACCGCTACATTTTTGTCGCCCGTGGTGGTACGTTGGCTCGATTTCCGCCGTCTCCCGGGTCTGGTGCGGGCTTATTTTCCCGAACAGCGGCTGGTAATCGAGCCTAGGTGGTACAGCTAAACTCCCCAGTAATGTCCACTGTATTCGGGACAATTCACGCACACGAGTTACGATATTATAGAAGTTCACCGACAGACGGGAAATTACCGTTCCAGAGCTGTTGTTAGAAGCGGATAAGTCAGCACACTTCGATCATTATTGTTGAAACATCCATGGCAAGCTCCACCGCTGTGATGGAGGAACTGTCAGTCACTGTTGCGTTCAGCGGAAAGCGTGTTTGAAGACTATGACAGGCGAATTACTCGGCCTTCGGTTCTAAACTGAAAGAACCGAGCCTATTACAGGTATTTAGTTAACTTTCATACTCTATCATTCACAAACGTGATTTGAAATTTGGTAGTGTATTAGGCTAACACGAAAATGTTTGTTTGACAACTGTTTTCATTGCACGTGTGGCCAGTTGACACAGTCTAAAAAAACTCACGAATGAATGTAAGGAACCTCAATGTACCGTAAACACATTATTAACAAAGTGCTTTTTTGTCGAGGCATGCAGATTCATTTAGCAAATAAAAAACAACTGTTTCGTACCCCCATTGTACGACTTAGCTAGTGTAGTCACAGCATCGAAACAGCAAAGCGTTCTTAAAACACTGTTAAAAGTATCAATTAGACGTCGTACTACGTCGTTTACCAATGCCTAGCGAGAAATTACGGCCTCTTCGGCCTCGTTGTTTAACTAGGAAACATCGAATTAGATAATTATTGTTTATTAAATCCCGCTACGATACCGATTGATTGATCGGCTCAGTGGTAATTACCACTGAGAACTTGAATAGCTAGATGGCAGTGAGTGAATAAATCCCGTGAATAAATGCAGTAGTCAAAGTGATCAACTCCTACCTTACGAGAAGCAAAAAAGAAATGCTAATACAGAAAGTCCCTGATTCATATTTCATACTCTAATTTCAGCAGTATTCCACGGCAGTTTGTGAATGTAGCCCACTTCAAATTCGTAGTTCTTTTAAGAGATTCCTTTACTCTATTTCTCGGGCGTAGTTCAAAGCACTAAATGTTTTGTGTTGAATGAAGTGAGAAACCGCGTTTAGGTTTTCCACCTGCGTTGTCAGAAGTTTTTTGAACCACGATACAGACTTTGCCGACGGCATCCTCGTTCGCGTCCCTCAGAGTTACCGTTTTCGTACCCCCATTGTACGACTTAGCTAGTGTAGTCACAGCATCGAAACAGCAAAGCGTTCTTAAAACACTGTTAAAAGTATCAATCAGTTTTCCACCTTTTTCGCCTATTTCAAAAGGATCCAAAAGCGACATAAAGATATCCAAAGGTTTCAGGAAATGAAACTGTTTCAGAAAGACGGGTTTAAGCACGAGCTGATTTCTTTGAGCCACCAAAAACTCTTTTTGGCGAGATCCAATGCTAAGAGTCAGAGCTTTTTTCTTTGGTAGTAATGTTTAACTTAACGTCCACTTGGGTCCTTGACAAAAGTATTAAGCTTATCCGAACACAGAAATCTTGTTAATATTACAATTACGAATTATTCGTTGAGTTGTCTACAACCAGCTCTATGACGGACGCTTTCTGTTTGCCGGGTACTGCAGATAATAATATCAGTTAATGTGCTCTAGGTCATCAGCGGGACAGAGAATATGAAGTCAGAAAATAGCATTTCTGTTTGCAAAACATTGTTGCTTTCATTAACATCAACGATCATATTCAGTACAATTAATAGATTGTCACTAGTGTTAACTTTTCATTTCTCAGTTAACTACTAATTTTTCGGCCAATTATCAGTTAACTACTGTTTCTTTGACAAATATCAGTTAACTGTTATCCCCATTGGCACCCTCTTCTGACACATGGAACCCGAACTGGCGCTGTATTAGCTGACAAAACAATCAGTTGTTTACCTGTACATGTGTTTCCTGAGTCTTAATGAGCCCTTTTGGAAGGTATTTGAATCCACTGACTGGATTCAAATCCCTTCCAAAACGGCTCATAAAGACTCGGAAAGACAGGTAAATAACTGATTCTTTTATTAGCTAATACAGGGTTCGGGTTCCCTGTGGCGATGACAAAGTTACGTAAACTTAATTTATCTGGTTTTATCGCTAATGAAGTTCAAGTAAAAAAATTCGAATGAAAAGTCTATTATTTCTCCGTTTTTTTTTTCAACCACAATGTCTTCGCCAGTGTAGAAGAACAACATTTTCAGTAGTGATAATACTAAGAAGTATGATAGTCAGGTTGGATTCCTTGCTACTGTAGAAAAGTTTCATTTTTATCTTTTTGAGCGAACAGATGTCTTGTTAAATTAACCCGCAACCTTGTTTCATGGACAGGGTCTTCTCTCCTCATTCATTAAAGGCAGCGAATAAGTAGAACTGACCTCAGCAGAATCAATGTGAAATATTTGGCCAGTAACGGCCTAAATTGGCATGAGAGTAGACCCTTGTGATGTATTAAACCACAAAAATTAAACTCCTTTAGCAGTTAACTTTCATTTGAAATCATTTTGTTTTTTACTCTAGTCATAAATGAAGTTTCACAGCTTTCTTGAAAACATATTCTCCTCAGTGACCTTTAGTAGCTTTTATACTATAAGTATAGTATAAGAGTTTCAACTAGCAGCACAAATAGCTCAGTTTGTTTCGTAGACAACTGTTTCCACGTGCTTAATTAGGCCGGTTGCTTCACGTGAACTTTAACGAACTATGAAGACTCGGTTATGAAACATTTTTTCATGCTCTTTATCCGCTAACCGAGACCCAAGCATGCATACTTTTTAGGGATAGTCATTTGAGTGCTTTTTTCTTAAGTGACAGAATGTCACAGCAAAATAAACTCAGGGTATTAACATTACGTCAGTTTTAACCTAGGGCCAATCAGAATGGGTGGTGGCTTATCAATAATCCTTACAAATGACAGACCCGATTCCCGGAAAATATGAATGAGCCCTTTCTCAGTTTCTAGGAATCTTACGTGGAACCCTATTTATTTCATAACCAATGGATAGACGTTGAGCTAAGAGAGAATGAGCCCATTGACTAGAAATTAAAAAAGTCTAAATTGGACGAAAAAAATGAAATTAACGTTATGACTACGGTATACTGATTCAGAACTCCATCAACAACCTAACACGAAAGAGCACTTTTAATATTTCTTTCCCTTACTGATCATGACATGGGACGAAAAAAAAAAAACAAGCGAGTTTAAATTAACAATCACCATTTTCGGAGTGAAAGTTTTCGCTCCCTTACTCTGTGGTGGTACCCCTTAGTACTTCTTTCATGCTCCTATATTCACGAGTCACGATTGCATACTATAATCATAGCTGGAATTTTCCGTCTTCAAATGTGTGAAAGTTATACCGTCACGGAATTTTGATAGTTCTTTGTACAGAGGAATTCAGGCTGCAGAAGATCATGGCAAGACATCATTTCCTTCGAGCCCAAAAACAAATTTTACTAGAAATTCTATTCGTCGTAGAGATCATAAGCGTGGAACAGTTTACAATAGCTGAAACCTTTCAAAAGAGTTTTAACAATTATCTCTCGCCAAATTTGATGTACTTCTAATTCAGCAATAAAGTAGACTTCGATCCCATTTGAACCACGAACCAAGACAATTATAGCATTACTGGTAGAAATGAAGTTTTTGAAGCAACAGTAAAGTTATTTCACTGATACAAGCTGATATGTTTGGAATTTGGTGGTTTATTGAAAGCCTCTGTCAAATGAAAGTATGCGCTGGCTTATCCGTGAACGCGGAAAAGTTTTGTTGTTTTACAGGGCAGCTGTTTTCATTAAACGTGGCCAGTTAAGTTTTAATGCTACAAAATATCTTTTCACTAATGCATGAATGCAACTTTCAATATAACGGCCTATTGACAAACTCAGCTTTTTCTGATGATCCTCCATTCAGATCAATTTAATACGTAAAGACAACCGTAACAAAGACGAAACGTAATCTTGTAAGGAACCACTGAACATCATATCATAGTATACACAATACAGCGAAGAAAGTACAGCCCTAAGAAAGGGAACTTTGAATAAAACCATTTCAAATCCGCTATGTATCGATCGACTGGCATGTCATCTAATCATTGCGAGAAAGAACTAGATGGCGATGAGCGAATCAATGCAATAGAACGGACCAAAAGAACTTACCAAAAGAAACGCAAAGGAGAAATGTCAAAGCAAAAAGTCCCTGATTCATCTTTGGGAGAACTTTTAAGGCAAAACTTCTCTTCAGCAAAGTCTGCTCCTCGGTAGCTGTCCCAAAAAGTAAAGTGGTCTTTTACATGGAACACGCTACATTCATTGCATCGTATTCTTCCCTATTCTGACAGTGAACCAATCAAAACAGTCGATTAAACGTCTTTCGCAACTGTGCACCAATCACAACTTTAGGGCGCTGGCTCGTAATTTATAATTAAGATCAATAATCCACCGGT